TTATAAATGACCTGCATCTTCTTCTCTTGCACTTTCAAGTAAGTTTCCTATATCCATTCGATTAAATGTTTCTAGAAATCATTTGAAAAATTTATGAATCTGATGGAACTTGAGTTGCAAAATTCGGAATCCAAGAAAATAGCCCAAAAATAGTGGAAGAAAAGAAGATTTCTTGGATGAAAACACTCACAAACACTTCCTTTAGTCAAATATCAAAAGACTTACAAGTTTCCACGGATACAATGCTCCCAATTCGAGAAGGGAAGCTTTCTCCCAAGCCCTAGAGAAGAGAAACCTAAAACAGCCACCAAACAAAGATCCTCTAAAAATAAACCCTAACTCCCCTTAAACCCTCACATGATCCCCCCAAAATACCCTAAACACCCCTAGGGCAAACAAAATTCCCTCCCTTATTCATTTGGTGGGCCCCTTGGGCCCACCCGCCCCCCTTCTTCCCTTCGGCCGACCGCCCAGGCAGGCGGGTTCTCCGCCTGCAGTAAACAAGAGCCGGCCCTTTTTGGGCCGGTGTTGAAGATGGATGGACCGGCTGGTCCGGTCCATCAAAATCCTTATTGCATTTTTTAATTATTTTGATCATTTTAATATTGGCTTGAGTTTTAGTTCAAGTAGTGGCTGCTTATATTTGCATAAAACATGTTATTGAAATTTACGAATCTTCATTTTTGTTGCATGTATTCATACCATGCATCAGATTAGATGCATTAGTATAACCTAACCCTCAATCATCTTGCATCATATTGATATTATAGCTTTAGGTTGTCTATATGTCATTATATAAAATTGCGCATTATATAACTCACCTTGAGGCCCGCCTCCGTGCAATTCCAATGAAAAATACCTCAAGGCTCACACCTCGAGCTTTTTTTGTGAGGCTTGTGCCTTAGCTTGGTTGAGGCTCGCCATGAGGCGCCACTTGCCTTGCTAGTTTGAGGCTTACGCCTCATCATATGTGTTTTTTATTAAAACTTGCCTAAATCTTAAACTAAGGCCCCAAACAAATCACTCTTTCATGCATCCGGGGCCGCAACAACTTCCTCTCTATTGCCTTGACTTCTAGCCCGCCACCTTCGTTGCCTTTGTTGTTGCCACCACCAGGGATTACTTGAAAGCAGCACACCACCTCCTCTTAAAATTTTGGAGTATTAATCTCATATTTATATTGATGAAAAATATTTATGAAAGGTGAAGATTGTTGAAATAAATGAAGAAGTAGTATATTAGGAGGCATTGGGCTCCACAGGATGAGGTAGAGGGAAAGATCCCTTCAGTGATGAAAGTGTAGATAATTT